GGGGTTCAGAAGTTGGATTTCCTGCGGGAGCTCTGGCTGTCTGAATCCAGCGCTGTGAGACTTTCTTGTAATCAGACTTTCAGTAAACTTTCTGTTGATTTTAAACAGTCCTCTCCTGTCTTCACTTCTTGTGCTTCCAACAAAACAATTGGGTTAATTTCTAACATCATTTTCATTATTAGTGTGCTTATTATTATTTAGAGTGTCTGTACGTTTCTGTTGTGTTGGACTTGCAGCGTTTCAATATTTTCAATACTTTCTGTTTTTAAAGCACATTCCAGTTTGCTGTGTACTGTATGTGCCTTCTAAAGTTGCAGTGTGTGAAGCTCTCCAGGTCCCTGCATTTTAGCCTTTGTCCAGTTATTGCATTGGTTTTGTTAGGTTATTTTTTAGTTAGATAGATATTCAGAGATTTGTTGTCTATGAATGTTTAGTGCAGACTGCAGGCACGTCAAGGTTACAGGAAAACTGCTGTTAGTGTCAACTGTAATGCTAGTCTTAATATTTGTCTTAATGTGTAAGGTTATGTCCAATTGTTTTAGATACACACCACGAAAACAACAGTCACGCACCTTGACTTTTCCTCATGTTTTGGCTAAACGATAGAGCAGCTGCAAAGCTTGCTTATCGGGTGGCGTCACGGTTTGACGCCCCTTGTAGCATGGGCTAGCCCAAAAATGATTAATATTATATAGGTTGTTGGGTCCAGACTTTCTCAGCTTTCTGCTGCCTGCGCGCAGGTAGAGGGGTGAGAGAGCTCTGGACGTGTCCTGTGAATTTTACCTGTGATCCTCTGAATAAACCAGCACGGTTATTTTTTATAAAATCTAAAGCAGTCTCTTTCGTCTCATTGAGAGTTCCTGGTTTGAAAGAACCGGAAGAAGCTACACAGAAATAATAGCTTATAGTTTTCTGGGCTACTATCTCATTTCCAACCATGGCAGGCAGCTGTTTTGAAAATGGCAGACATACAAGTTCAAAGTGTTTATTTTGTAATATGCACAGTTAGGAAACGTGTTTCCCTGTACAATGAAATTCTTACTTTGCCATCCACATGAATGCCACAAAATACAAATGAAATATAAAGTAGATAAATAAATAACACAAAATCTAAGGCACTTTAAGCAGCGCAGATGCAGCAATATAGTAGAAAAAAATATATACAAGAATATAACAGAATGTATGCTGCATGGGAGCAGCATGTGCAGCAGTGCATACAATGTTAGTAACTAGCTAGCAAGCATAGTGGTAGCGAGCACAGAACTACAAAAAGTGTGAAAATTAATTTGTCAGAATGCCTGAGTCCAAATGAATGCTAATGTTGCTTTGTCTACTGAATGTGTAAATATGTAAGGGAAACACACACTGGGGGGTGTTGTGTCATGTGATGCACATCACATGATGCCCATAATTCACACCAGAAGCAGTGCAAATTCAGCATGCGCCTACTGAAATGGCTGAGCATTTAAATACGTTATACTTTTGATGTGCATTGATGCTGGGTGTTCCCCAGTTACTAAAAAATTCACATTTTGTTGTTCTGTTGCTTTTCTTCTGTAGCACCATAATAGTAACACCCATTCAACCAAAGCGGTCACAGACTTATTCTAGCTCTTTTACACTAAGATGAAACTCTGCTGTCACTTGCCAGTACTCTTTCAGCATAGCCAATACCTTTGCTTTCCGCTTCTTCTCATTGTTGCACTGTACTTTGAAAGACTTAGCAATTAAAATGGTAGTCACTTCCATTCTCATCCATTCAGGAAAATGAAAGTCACAGAAAAGTCACAGAAAACCACGTCTTATCCGACCAGCCCTTTTAACGGGGGAACAAAAGGTCTTTCTCCTTCATTTCCTATTAACCTCTGTGTTCCTCCAAACACAGGAAACATGGCGACCTCAGTGGCCCATGTCACATATCTCATCCGGCTGTGGAGGCTGCTTCCTATGAGAGATGGTGACATTCAATGAGAGGGTTTTCTATCTGTCTGTAGTCCTTGACAGATAAAAGGTGAGTGTTGATATTTGTCCCTAGTCTCACTGATACTGCATGGAAACACTCCTGATAAGCGATGAGCTGGTATGACATTGATGAAGTCTGGAGTGGAACTGACAAGCTCTGTAAGTGAATAACACCATCAGAAGAAGTAGCCTGTTACGGTCTGGATTAGATTTTTGATTATTTGATGCAGGTATTTCACACTAAGCAGAAATACAGCATCACACTCGGCATTGTCTAAACTTAATACAAGACATAATGCAACATCTCTGAGCATGTGCCATAATTACATTTTAATGCTTCCTAGTTTCTCGTTGCTGTAGAGATTTACTCATATGCAGAAGACTTCATGAACATTCCTTTATTTTCTGCCCCCTTTTCCTGTGGACTTTATTAGTTATCCACTGCTCAGCACAGTTCCAGTAATCCACTGAGTCCTACACAGATTCTCATTTCAGCACAATAAAGATGAAACGCCACTGTAGAGAAAGTGGTGATTTATGAATATGAGGTGAGAGAGATGAATGACTTATTGTTTGTTTGTCCTAAGCTTCAGAGTCTTCCTGTAAAGCCGTAGCACATGAAAACTTAACAAGAGGAAAACTAGTTGCTAAAAGAAAAGCCTTTCAAACAAACAACTGAGCATTCATGAATGTTTAATTAATCAGTAGTGACAAAAGGGAATAACAATCAACAAAGAGATGCCGATTTCCATTTTTTTATGCATTATTCCCACTGGCAAACCACAGACTGCTGTCAACTACCACTTTCCTCTCTACCCCTTCACCATGGCTGTCCCTGTACTGCACTGACAAAACCCTTGGAGAGCTACAGTACATTTCAACTGAGACCCAAAACAAGGACCAGCAGGGATCAAGTAACAGAGTTCAGACAACAAGAGTTCACTGTTATTTGGTGTTTACACGGATACTTTTGTAGTGTACGTTGCTCCTTTTTTTTCCACTGCAACAGCAGCAGCTAATCATGAGAAGCCAAAGCTAAATCACTGTTACTTCATAGGACTGATGCAGACGCTGCAGACCTACAGATGGGCTTTACCAAACAGACTCCATTACATACCTAACACCATCTGCCTTAGCATGTTATGTCAGTTTTGTGACAGGTAACAGGAAGAAGCTCAGTGAGGAAACACAATAACAAGTGCATACCACCCAACAACAGAGCTCAGCACCCTCGCTGAACTCCCCCAATGTCAAAACGGCCTAAAGACACACTCTGATCTTCTTCCTGCTACTGATAGAAACATTTTCTACAAGAATCCTGCTGCTCTGAGGTCAGTGGCAAAGCTCCCCTGAAGAAAAAAATACCCAGTGTACTCATCCTCTTACATGCCTCTGCTTATCCTAGATGAGCAATACATTTGAATTATGTCATCGTCATGCAGGGGTCATTTAAATGCATGGATGGAATAAGTATGTGAATATATGAATATATTACCATACATGGAAATGGAAAGTGTTTGCTGTAGTTTGTGTGCAAGTTTGTGGGGGCTTGAGAAATGGTAGCAGTTGGTGAGTGTAAATGAGTTTATTTGGCGTCCTGTGTTTCCTCTATGATTATACTGATGCGCTTGAAGGTTGAATCAAAAGCTATCCATATACAGAATTGTCCACAGTGAGCTTTGTAGAACTATATTAAGGAAGAAAGGTCAAATAACCCACTTCTAAATGCCTTTGATTCAAAATAAGGTAGTCCACTGTGGTTCCTATTCCTAGTCCATTTCCTACAGTTTTAGTTTTTTATAAAGTATTACAGCCTGAGATTCCTAATCGTTCCATAAATATTTGACAGTAGCAATCACCAGCTTAAAGCACATAACTGAGTGCACACAAGAAAATGTGCAATAAAAGTGCCACATATTTCTAAATGGTCCACATCATGTGGTAGCGTGGCCCTCGACCTATTCAAAGTGGAAAATTGCTTGCTTGCTTCTGCTTGCCACAAGGGTGAGTGCTCCATCTACATATATTGAAGTTGCTGTAGCAAGTTTTAGTGTAATATTTCCTGCTGTCCTGATGTGGTGAGTATTTTAATTTTACAAAAAAAATGTTGAGCTCATGTTTTGCATATTGTTAGCTGAACTTTTTTGTGAGTGGGCTGTTTTGTAGAGGATGTAACATTAGCATTAGGGGGCTATTCTAAGTGTTTGTTGACACTGATGCCAATTGTTCAGTTGTAGCACTGAGCTATGGGTGAAGTTCTAGTGATTTGATTTGATTTATCGTTCTTGTATTTTCATTTGCCAAGATACTCATAGCAGGCGAGCATGTAAACAGACATATTCATTTCCGCTTGTTCTTATTCACTCATTATTTTTATGCAATAGCCCATTAGAGATCAGCCGTCTTGGAAATCTCACCCACTGATTAGGCTGTTGTGAGCGGCAGAGACCAGAAATGAAGTCTGTCTATTGTTACTTACCAACAGCAGACATTTCTGGAACAGAAGCTCGGTATGGGCCTTCAGTGAACTGTGGTGGATTGTCATTTATGTCCTGGACTTTGATGATGAACTCAGATGGTGGCTCCAAGGGTTCGTCGGTATCAGCATTAATGACCTGGGCTGTTAGTGTGTACTCAGCCTTTTCTTCACGGTCCAGCCTCTTCATGGCGTGGATGTCGCCTGTTAATTCATTGATGGCGAAGATGGTGCCTGCCCCCTCACCTGCTAGTACATACTTGATGTTCTTGTTGCCCACATCCAAATCTGTGTGTAGCTGCAAGCAAAAGGAAAAGAAAAATAATACATAAAGTTAAAAGGTAACACAGAGTCCTCAGTCTGATCCCACTGTGTAAACAGAGACATGCGGCTTTAATGAATGCAAGTTGATAAGCTCAGCAGATTCTAGAAAATCTCACCATGTAAATGCAGATAAGTGTACAGTATGACTGTAATGTGTTGCTTTTGCTGCTGCTGAGCTTTTCGGCAACTAGTGGAGCCGGGATACTAAACGTGGCTCAACATAGCCTACACTTTGCTAAATGAGGCCCACTGGGGACAATAACCTTATAAGTAGCACAGGAAATGGACCTTAGCCTACATTGTTCCTCGTTATACATTGCAAATACATCATACAAACACACCTTGTGGGGAATATTGCTCCCTACAGTCTGAATTTCACTGGACAAAGTTGCTAGAAATGCTTTGAATGTGTATTTTATAAGAGGGCAAGAACAGGAAAGTATCAGAATCCATAAAAAATTAAAGAGGAAACTCTGCACATGAAGATTCATGCTCACAAATAACTAGACCCAAAGTTACTAGATGATACTGCATGTTCCTCATTATTTTTGTAATTATAGTTTCATTAGTTCACCAAAGCTGCATTATGTGCTAGGCTGAGTGGTTGGCTCCCACTCACCGCACAGGCTGAATATAGCTAATGAGTCTCACAATGCTACATAAGGCAACTGAAACATCCATGGACAGAAGAACAGGCAAAACCTTGTGCTGTTTCAAGTTAAAAAGGTAAAATGGAAGGGCTCAGATACAATGGTGCAGAAAGAAAGGGGTCAGAGAAAAATAGACATGCTAGGGCTTTGACACGAGGGAAGCAAAGAACTTTGCTTTTCATTCACACAAACAGAGAAAGCACCTTTTTTACTGTAAGTCACCTTTCATATAAGCCTCTTGATCCCCAAGGTGAGCGACTTTCAGAGGGGAGGCAAGTGGCACAGAGTACAAATCCAACAATGTCCAGGTGTTTGTATTTTTGTTAATGTACATGCCTCTCAAAACTCAAATGCGCACACACAACTGGGCACACAGGCATGCATCAAAACATTTGTATTCAGCAACTTTCATTTCATTTCCTGCCACACTGGTTCAAAAGAGATTCCTGTGGGAGCATGGTTAGGGTGCAGAATAGCAAGGCAAAAATCTGTCGTTGAAATTTCTGACCTCTAAACTCCCCACAATGTTTTTATAAGCCCGGTTTTATGCATACACCGTCTCCGAGGTGTTGTTTGCAGACACTGACAAAGCACATTCACTTAAATTGTCACACCTTGCACTTTTGTTTTCCTAATTGAGCCATCATTTCACATGAATGATGTAGCTCATTAACACAAATGCCTCACAACATCCTGCACACTGAGAAACCTTTTAAATGAGCTCAAATTGATGATGGTCTGTCAATGTTTTCATCCTGCGTGTGACTTCTTGTATGCAGTGTTATGCCTACAGTTATATGCATGTGTGTGTGAAAAAAAAAATATATATATATATGTGTGTAGAGGAGATAGAGACCACTGACGTCAAGACAAGGAAGCCCCTTACAATGCATGGAGGGTTTCATCCCAAGTCCAGCATCCTGAGACTGTACACTAAGCGGAAGGAAGGAGGCAGAGGATTAGTGAGTGTCAGAGCCACTATTCAGGATGAAACAACAAAGATCCATGAATACATCAGGAAGATGGCCCAGAGTGATGACATGCTTAGTGAACACCTCAGACAGCAGAAACCAGAGGAACAAGGGAAGGAAGAGCAGGAACCCTCATGGAAGGACAAACCTCTGC